TAAAAAAAAAAAAAAACAACCCGTTTAAATCCGAATATGTTCCGTATTATAAACTCTGGCACATTGTTTCCAAAACTAAATTTTCTTCTTCTTCTACTACTACTTCTTCTTCTTCTTCTTCTTCGCTATTTTGCTACATATTAAATAATAATTAAAACGAAAAAAAAAAACAAAGTTCCTATATTCATTTGTTGTTTACATATTATTGAACTATGGCTATAGCTCGTGTAATAATTCTGCTTTAAATAAAAAAAAAAGAAAAAGAAATATATTACATATGCATATATACATATATACCGATCGGTAAAAATTATTTTCTTTTTTTTTTTCTTTTTTAAATTTATATAAGAAAGACATTCATTCGAGAATTCTTTCTTCTAATTGAATATCGAAACGCTTCAACTGTATCTCGAATTATTTTCATTAATTAACGTGTTTAAAGATAAAATTACAAAGTAACGTTAACGATATTTCGATGATACGAAATAATAAAATAATATTTAATTAATTGTTCGCAAAATTAATTAACAAATTATTTTAACGTTAGATACATCTATTATACGCATACTTGCGTTTAAGAAGAACAAAAAAAAACAATTATAATAATAATAATAGTAATAAATATTTAATATTCGCATATGTTTATCGTATAACAAAAAACAATGATTTATCATCGCGACGAAGAAAAAAATAATAAAAAAAGAGACGCTCTTCTATCCACTTCTTATAGTAAGGTGTGTATCGGTTATCCCATTAAAAAAAAATAATAAAAAATAAAAAACCTATCGTCCATTATACTACTACTACTATTATTACTACCACTACTACTACTACTACTACTACTACCACTACCACTACTACTTACTACTATTTAATTATAGTATAATACTATTTGTCAACGTTTAAGGTTTACATTGGATTTCCTGAGACGACGACCAACTACGACGACATTGACTAACACAACGTGACAATATGATTATTAATTTATATCTCGATTGATAAAAAATTAAATAAAAAAGAAAAAGACAATTATATCTCGAAATTCAAACACATAATTTTCAGACAAAATTCTGAATTAATTTAAAATCGAGATATATATATATTAAAAAAACAAGCCGACTCTGTCGATAAAATAAATAAATTAATTAGTAAATAAAATAAATAAATAAGAAAAATCGTTGAGGCACGCGATAAACCAAAAGAAAAAAAAGAAAAAAGATGAAAAATTTATAATAATATGGATACAGACGCGCACACATACATACTCACACACAGAGACAACGTAAATAAATTTTCGTTCTTTATTTTTATTGTCCTCTTATTGACTTTTGAGGAAAAGTAATCATCAATCATCATCTTCTGATCATCGTCGTTGTAATTTTGTACAAGTAGATGCAACCCATCATCTTTATATATATAATAGTACATGTATACATATACTATTCATATATAATAATATATACATTCGTTTATTTTTATATGCATTTTATTATTATTATTATCAATTTTATTATTGAAAAGTATTATTTTAATTTTCCTCCTATATATGTGTTGTTAACCTGTTCGTATAAATAATAATCTATATAAATAATCCTAACTCTCATTTGATCGAAACAAATTTTTTATAGAAGTTATTCAATTGTTATTTTTTTTTTTAAGTATGGAAAAGTATTATCGTTGATATAAAAAAAGTGTAAATTAATTTGGAACATCCCTATAATTGTGAATCTTCACGTTCGTGAAGAGATTTCTCTTCTGTTTATTTTTATTACTTTTTTTTTATACAATTATTATAATTATTTTTTCTCACCATCATCTTTCTTCTATGTATCTGATTATCTATTATATCTATTTGTCTCTTTCTCTCTCTCACTCTCTCTCTCTCTCTCTCTCNTCTCTCTCTCTCTCTCTCTCTCTCTCTCTCTCTCTCTCTCTCTCTCTCTTTCTCTCTCTCTGTTCATCGATAGAAATTAATTTCATGCTAATCCTTAATTAAATTAAATAAA